GATTCTGGAAAAAAGGACCCTGGAATGGGTTTGTAATAGATATGAAGTAGAGTGTCTTCGCTGAAATATAGTTCCCTCCCTAACACATTCCTTATCAGGAGCTCACAGACAGTAAACTAACCACCCCAAAGGAATCTACCATAAATGGCTCACTTATTCATTATGATTGATCTGGACTACTGCTCAAGGGACATGCCCAGCATCTTTTCATGAGTAGCCCGTATTAGTCATTGACTGAGGGAAGGTAAATTTTCTTGAGAGCCTACGTTTAACGGTGATTGGTATGAATGAACAAAGATGGGCAGGGGCTAGTTTAGACTGCCCACCAGTCAAGACCTGAGTCAATACCATTTCCACTGGCGTGAATGAACAGAGATGGGCAGGGGCTAGTTTAGGCTGCCCGCCAGTCAAGACCTGAGTCAATACCATCTCCACTGGCAAATGCTGTGTGTGTGTGTGTCCGAGGGTGCAGCCGCAAAGGGAGAGACAGATGTCCAAGCTGGATATCTTTGGGCAAGTTGTTTGACTTCAGAGAACCAAGTTGCTTCATCCAGTTGTTTATGGTGATCAGACACAAGACAGAATGGTGTGTGTAAAGCATTTGTAAACCTAGAAATTATGTCCAAAAGGAAAGAGCGCCTATCCCCACTCAGGGGTCTATCTGATGCTGAGCTTTTTCTTCCTATACTTAGCTGGATCCAGCCCAAGGATCCTATAATTCTGAGAATATAATAGGACTCAATAGGGATCAGAATATACCACCCCAAAATATGCCACTTTGGCATAGGATTATTTTAAGTTGAAGGCGATTGAGAAACAGAAGACACGAGGAATTCTCTGTCCTCTCCTTTTCTGCCTAAAAGCAGGACATATATTTCCCTCTGAAAAGGTAACATAAATTTCCCCTTGTGAAGGGGTCCCCCCTCCTCTCTCCCATCCCAGGAAGAAGAGATGGCTGGAGATGCCACTGACTTCCGTCTGTATAACGAACTTACTAAACGACCCTTATCTTCCATAAATTTCCCCCATATATTTCCCCCCATAATTTACAATCCCTAGAAGCCCAAACCCCTTTTCCTTTGTCTTGTCATTTGTCCACAATTTATTACCTTTTGTTAAAATGGTTTATAAACTCTCAAGCCTGACCACTTCTTAGATTTTCACTTCTTTTTTGTGAGTAGCTTCCTCTCCTCACCTCGTGCATGCATAATAAATCTTATCTCCTGTTAATCTGTGTTTTTGTCAGTTTAATTCTCAAGACCAGTTAATCTATCTTTTGCCAGCTACACAACCTAAGAGAGTAGAGGAAACCTTTTTTTTCCCACCACTACAGAACCATAGTAGTGGTAAGAGTCAGGGTTTTGGACTCAGGCCTGGGACTAAACCCTGGATCCACTATGTTCTTGGCTGTATAGGTGAACCTTTCTGAACCTCAGCTTTTCATCTATATAATGGGAATAGTAATGGTACCTACTGTAAAAGGGAAATTCTCCAGTTTCAGGGAGGCGATATCTCCAGGCGCCAGCCCCAGGAGAAGTGCAACATTCCAAGGTGAAAATAGTAAAACTGTCTACTAGGCCCTGTTTGATCCGAGAGTTCCCCGGATACATTTATCTTTGTACAAAATGTTAATGGCTAACTTCTGCTTCTTGTAATCTGCTTATTCAAGGATGTAGTAGGAGGCTTTATAAGCTGCCTCCTATAGAAGCTCGGGGCTGATCTCCTCTAACCCTGCGTGGTAGAGAGTCAGTTGCCGGCCGGCTAATAAAGGCTCATAATTAATCTCAATTGGCTCTGTGGGTCTCAGAATCATTTGCGCCACAACACTACTCACTTGGATTGGCAGGATTAAATGAGACAATCTAAGTACCTGGCCGTGGTACATGCTCAGTAAACATTAGCTCTTGTTATTACATACTGATGGTCCTTAGAAGGTAAACAGATGTTTCTTATGTTTTTTAAATGATGCAATATAATCACATGCTTTTATTTGTACGTATTGTTGAAAGAACTCAAAAAGATTCTGGGGCTTTGGCTAGAAATACATGTTCCAGTTTGTAAACCAGAAACACAATCAAGCAAAACCCAGAGTGTTCTGAAGAAGAAAAAAAGAGTTAAGAGTTCTTATAGTAAAAAGTACATTCTTGAAAAGAATCAATCCTGCATTCTTAGCCTCTGGATTGGTCTGAGATAGTGACCCTCTAGGTAACGAGTGGTCTGGATAATGGATGTCAGGCTGTCTAGATATGAATATTTGTTACCTTAGTCCTTCAGGTGGGTAATCCACTGAGGGAAGGGAGTTATCTGGAATTGATATATATATCTAGGCATTGACAAAGGACTGGAAAATTCAAACGTTTAAGTTCCCAGGCTAACTTAAAATAGAAACAGAATTTTTTCCTCATGCTTCAACCTACTTGATTTTAGTAATTTAACAGCTCGACTAGAGTTAATGTAGGGAGGAAGCAAGAGAATTAAAATGTTAATCAAGCTACTTTGATTAATAGAGACTGCGATATGCTGATCAGCCCTGTAGCCAGGCCAGGAGGACACCTTCGAAACAGGAAGATTTCTGCTGGGATTGCTAATAACCCATTTCCCACACCTGCGGAAGGGGAAACAGAAACAACAGAGTCCTTCAGTGGCTGCCGTATCCAAATACAATCGTTCATTGCCACTGGCTAAAACCAGATAATTTAGCAAGCCCTACACCCTAGAAGCTGATTACCTGTTTTCCCTCTGAGTGAAATTAAACCCACAGCCGCTACTGTGTGCCAGGCACTTGTCTTAATTCATTTTATATTTCTGACAACCCCAAGCTGTAGGTTATCATCCTCATTTTCCAGGTGAGAAAACTGAGGTACAGGAGCTTAAGCAACTCGCCCGAGGTCCTGTGACTGCTTAGCTCCGAGCTGGGTTTCCAAACAGGCTGGCTGGCCCCAGGCCTCAGCCTCTTCCCCACTTCCTCCTGTGGCCTCCCAACAGTTCCCACGGCTCTCAGGGCAAGGGCACCTTCGGGTCCTCTGGCTTTCCATCCTCTTCCTGGCAAGAGGCTGGCTCTTACTAGAAGTCGTTTGTGTCACAATCAAGTCCCCACTACCCTGGGAAGCACAGAACAGTCTTTTCTTTATTACTTATCTGAATTAGCCATTGTGTTGGTCCTTGCTGGTGGCCCAGGCATTCCCCTTGCCCTCTGCAACGCCCACTATTACAAGAAAGTTTCTAAAAAATGCAGTCCAGCCCCTATTCTTGTTTTCTTTGGTAAATGTGTTCTTCTGCACTTGCAGAGTAAGCAGATTTTTAAATAAACTGAAGCCTGAGAGGCAGTTTAATAGAGTGGAGAATGCAGGGGCTTGGAAGATGAGAGAGCTGAGTTTAAGTTCCATCAACCAGCATCAACTAGTTGTGCAAAATAATTGTAGTTAACACTTATTGACCACTTACTGTAACGTGCTCTCATGTTATCCTCACAGTAACAGTTATAGGGTAGGTCTGTCAGAATTTTCTGTGCACAAGCAACAGAGGTTAATACTGAGAATTAATACGAAAGGCTATGAGATAATTCATGGGACAGAAAGCGTAAGAATTAGGTTTAGAAGGTTCAGAGACCAGGGAGGGCTCCAAGGATCCAGATAAGGTAGGGAGGAGGCAAGAGAACTTAAGTGTTAAATCAAGCTACATTCAGAGACACTGCGATATGCTGATGGCCTTGGAGCCAGGCCAGGAGGACACCTGCAGAACAAAGGACGATTTCCGCTGGGATTGCTAACAACCCACTTCCCACACCTGTGAAGGGGAACCAGGAACAACAGAGTCTTTAAGTGGCTGCTCCTGCACAAAATAAAATCATTCATTCCCTGTGGCTAACACCATAGGGAATCTAGGAATTAAAGGCTGGGAACTAACCTCCAGCAGGCCTTTCCCTGCTGAGGACTCCTATCCTCCTCACTGCATGTCTGTATCAAAGGAAATGGGTAAACAAAGTCTTTAAACTGTAACTCACAGGAACTAAAGAAGATGTATAAACTGAATTCCAGATGGGGTCCCTCTCAGGTGCCTTTACTCTGTCTCTCTCACTGTCCTCCCCTCTCTGAGTCTTTCTGAGGCTGAGAGGAGACCATGCTCTGCCTATGGAGTGTTACCTCTTCTCTAATAAACTTGCCTTTGACTCTAACTTTGGCATGAGTTTGAATTCTTTCTACTCTCTCCACCAAGAACCCTCTGTCTCAGTGCAGGGCTCGTCTCCTCACCCAAGGGAATTTGCCCTGTCCTGCACCACAGGTAGCAGAAAGGAATCAATAGCCTCTCCA